GAGTCATGAGACTCTAGTTGCCACCTTTTTATACTTTTCCGCAGAGAATTCAAAAGACACTACTGTCTGCAGGAATGGTGCTACGTTTTAGAAGCACCTGTCTTTGCCTAGAGAGTAACTGGGCATCAGTGACAGTAATCACATTTACGTAGCAACATCTGGTTGCACAAAAGCTTTGTTACAAGCTTTGAGGAATTTTTACACAACGTAATAGAGTGCTTCTAATTGTTTCATTCAGAATTACTTAGCTAAGAGTATTTGTTTAAACCACTGATGTACTTGGAGGGAGAATAGAGAAGTTGTTAAGTAAATTCCACTTATACTAACATTGATAATAAAGTCACATGGTGACTGTGGGGTACTAAGAAGTTGAGAAAACTTCTCTAGAAAAGCTATTCTGCATTTGGTAAACTCACCTGGTCATGGTGGTTTTGCCATGTGTTGGATATCAGTTAATTGTCAGACTCCCACTGAGCAGTTCAGAGAAACCATCCTGTATCTCTTAATGGTGAGTTTCTTTGTCCTTAAACATAGTCCCTAGACTCATGTTTTAAAAAAAATCTTTGTAATGTAAATAGGGCTTTGGCTAGGACTTCTTAAAGATTTCTAAAATTTTGGAAGTTTTTTGGGTTGAGGGGGTGGGTGAGTTTAGGCAGAGGGGGAGTAATTTTTTCCTTCCGTCTGGTATAGTCCCCTTTTCAGCAGTTCCTTGGCACTTGGAAAAGCTTTTCTTGATGTTTGAGAAACCTGCAGAGTCTATACTGGGCTTTCTCTCATGCCGTTAGGCTGTATCTTGCCATATCTGTAAGGATATTAAAGAATCTTGTTCTTTGCTGCAACTTTAGGGAAGAAATTACAAAACTTGTGCAGCTAAAAGTGCACACTTGAACACCTGAAGTATTGAAAAAAGACTAATCCCACAAATTCATATTGTTACTTTTGATAGTATAGGATGATGGAAAATTGCTTTTTTTAGATGTTCAGTTTGACACAAAGTAGAAATCTGTAGGATATAGTGATTCCTAGCTATTGCTGCTTGAGAAGAAATGCAAACATTGGGAGCAGAAGCATAAGTTTGTAGACTTTGAGGTTCTGTTTCTCTTTTTTAAAAAAGACACCATAATGTTGAGAAAATTAGGACTGATCCATAAAACTTCTTCAGCATGTGTTTCTTTAGGCTAATGATTGCTTTTTCATTATCCGGTGTAAATCACGAGGAGTTTTCAGTGCCTGTTGTGGCATAGCTGGCTTTTTCAGACCAAAATAAGGATCTGTCGCTTTCATAATTAATGTATTGCCTAATCACTTACCCAACAGGTCAAGTAATGTATTTTTCAGCTTCATGAGCTTTAACAGATATCTCTGTCATCACAGCAGACAACCAGAAGAATATTGGATGTAGTTTGGCATTAACTTTTGGCTAGCTGTTGCTTTAGATGAGCAGAATGCTTGTTGAGTTGCAGGGGCTGTGGTCAGACTTCCTCCGTCAAAACTGCTTAATAAATAACACCAGCCATCTGCTTTCTTTAAAAAGAAAGACACAGAAAACATCCACTTGTAAGATCTTGATTAGACTTACTGCTAAAGCCTGCCCAGTTGTCTGCCAGAGTTACTCGTTAAAATGTAATTAAGATCCATATGGTGCTTTATATAAAGACATAAGACATCAGTAACTTTCTTCGGTTAAAGCTGGAAAACAAAGACTGAAGGCTGGAAAATGTCATTTTAGCGCTAAGAAGCCCTGTTTTAAATATCGGTTATACAAGACAAAAAACATCCACCAGTAGACTACATATGCTTTTAAGTCTCAGGCGTATGGATTCAGATTTGTTTAGAATAAATGGATGATCATAAACTACATCTTTTGGAAGAGGCATTATGTATTACTTCTGGAAAAGCAAACCATAGAGTCTTAGAACATAACGACCATCTTAACTGTATTGATTAAAAAAAACTAAGAGCAGGTTGATACACATGGGGGTTGTTTTAAAAAGTTGTAGTAAAACTCTAAAGCCTTTTTCTAGAAAAAGAATTCAAAACAGTTTTGTACAGAATTGGGGATATAAATTTGATTTTAAGCTTACATGCCAAAAGCTACACTTTCATATTAAAACTAGCGTACATTAAGTCATTATGGTGCAAGATCCACCCAGTAACCTACAGTTTAATTTGGTTTGTTATTGTATTTTGAAGACTTGGACTTAAATTTCTGTGTAAAATAGCAATGGGGTTTTAATGATTCCTTCTCTAGATTTATTACAATACTGCTTTAGTTCTGTCTTGTCCTGTCTACTTCCCTGGCTAATTTCAGTATTGGATGTCATTTATCTCTGTAATAAAATACAGTACACAAAGAACACGGTAAGTAAAACAGTATTTTTTTTTCTGAAAACCTTAAAGATTTATGGATTCTTTGACCCGCTCATTAGGGCAAGCTTTTATGTTCTAATGCTAATACTTTAAAACTAGAAACTCCAGAAGCAATGCAGCACTGTCTAATTAAAACTTATGTTAAAACACTTGCTTAAATAACACTAATAAGGAGAAGTAATTCACTTATGCTGATTTAGGATTCTGACACTGACATTTCAGTTTCTTTAAATTAAAAAGCACATTAACCCTTTTTCCTGTTTGTTTTGTAGGCTGGAGTTAAGGGAAAGCTAGGAAGACTGCTTGGGATATTTGAGGTGAGCTACTTCTTTTACCTTTTAAAAACAATGGGGCTTTTTTTGTTTTTTGGTTGGTTTTTCTTGTGAGTTGATAAACTACAGAAACAGCATCTACACAACACAATCAGACTTAAGTTCTTAAGTATTACCTGCCTTTAATTTTGCAATGCTACTGGAAATGCTACGTTAGACAGGTGTTTTGCTTTAGTCATTACATGATTGTGGGAAGGTTTGAATAGGAAAATTTCCCATTAGTCCCAAATTAGTAATTGGACAACATCTAGAAGGTTTAAAAAAAAAATAAAATATTGAAATGAACATTCATAGATCTAAGATCGCTGAAATGTCACATATGCCTTTTATGGGGCGATATTTTGACTTTTCTTCTGTAATTAGATTTTGCTGAAATATCTCATTATGGCATTTATTCCCTAAAAAAGTTAATGATTTAGATGACAGATAAATCTAACCTTTAGCAATACTACGTAGTTCAAAAATTGTATTTCATAGTGTAAACATCAGACTTTGAACTACTGACAGCACAAGGATGCATACTAGATGTAGCTCTGGTTTAGTGTTGGCATTGGCAATTCTTGTCAGGTTCTAGACAGGAGTAGATTGTAGAAATGTACATGGGAGCCTTCAGATCATAATACATGCAACATTATTCTGTTGTGCTGTATGGCAGCTGGGAGTGGAAGACCCTCAGACCAGTAGTTAGGTGTGAAGCTTCACAGTTAAATTATAAAAGCAACTTTCAGAGACAGTCTATTCCTGATAGGGTTTCCCTATGTGAAATATTACTTAATACAGTGCTAAAGGTGTTCCCATTGTGAAGGATGGAAACCATAACAAAATTAGGAAAGTTCCTGTTTGTAACTAGAATCATAGAATCTTCTAGGTTGGAAGGGACCTTAAAGGTCATCTAGTCCAACCATCAACCTAACTCTGACAAAAAAAAATATATAAGAAATAGGAAATAAAAATTAGTAGCATTCTCTATACCTGTGCCCTTTTTCTGATTTGTTTTGGGTTTATGAATACACCTGGATGGTCCTACGCAGGACAGAACTTGTCTGTTTTTAACTCTGCTGGTCTGCTGGTTAGCCTGCAGAAGTATGCCATATTTGCTAGCTGAGATTAAAAAAAAGACAGGATACCTGTCATCTTGTTGCCTTAAAACTGGGGCCATAAGGGACTGTAATTATTTGGCAATTTAGCTGTATGTTCTTCTGAAGCCATCTACCACCAAGCACCTAGACCAGAGGAGATAAAATAAGTGTTGAGTGGCACTTCTCTAGGTTACTGCTAACCGACATCAAGACCCTGATTCAGTCTCACAACATGGCCCCACAAACGGTTGTTAGTACCATCGAGGGGGCCACATGGTGCAACCTGAGATTGAAGTAAACAGAAAATGGAAATTATATTGCTCCAGAGTCCTCGTGTTCTGGAACTACAGGTAGAAATGCTGGGTTTTTTTAATAAATGTATTTACTCCCTTTAACAGTGATATTGACGAACAACTGTCTTGGTGTATTTTTATTGCCTAGTAAAGCACAAAAGTTTAAAACTATACCAACAGTGCAGCGAAACAGAGATAAGTAGGAATGTTTATTGGCATAAGGATAAAACCATCTGTAAGGGGAGCTAGGGCATAACCTCTCTTGGTTCTTAATATAGTTGTAATTGTAGATGGTCCTGGGTTTTCTAGGAGCTCAGTTCTCTTCCAAGGGGGGGTATGGCTTGGTTAGTGGGGCAGCACCTTTAGGAGCGTGCTGGTGGCCTCCTGTGGAGGTAGCAGGGAGTGATGTCCACACAGACCTCACATGGACCAGCTGTGGCACATCCACCTTGCCCTGAGCAGACCTGATACACATGATACAGTGGTTCCATCTTGCAAAGCTTTTTTTTTTTAATAACTTTTCATGTGGGAACATGAGTTGCGGAAAGAGTTTTAACAAATGCCCTCTCCTGTGGTAACTTACAACATACATAAAAGATAAGTAATGAGCAGTACTAGTAGACAACTGCTAATATTAAACTGGGTGACCATGAACGTAGTTTGGTCCCAACCTCACAACGTTCACATTCCATGTGTTCTTTGATATTTTTTTTTAACCTAGTAAAATAGAATAGCTGTTCTTTCAAACAAAACTTCAGTTTTCCCATCCTTTTGGGCCTTCTCAGTACAGATATTTATTTAATGAAAATCAAAGCCAGGTTTAGCCGTCAAGTGCCCTTCAGAGTTAAGTAATTTTTAATCTTATAGTTGTGATAAGTCTAATTTTTTTTTGCTGAGAATTAAAATGTCTACTTCTATTATTCAAGCAGAACCAGGATCGGAAGCATAGGACATATGTTTATGTTCTTACGGTGACGGAAATACTGGAAGACTGGGAGGATTCAGTTAATATAGGTAAACCTATTCTCTGTCTTCATGTGCTATCTTAAAATGTATTAAGCAAACTTCTTTCCTTTTCTGAAGCAGTTCATATAACTCTAGGGAAAATACTAATTCTGTTCTATAAACTGAAATTACTGGAAATAGTGATGCTGTTTTTTGACGCTTTTCTACACATTTAACTAGGGTTGCTTCCAACATACTGTGTTACTCTTACATTAATTAGGTTATCCTAAGTATTAAGATGGAATAAACTTCATTATTAGTTGCTGTTACAGCTCTTAATTTTGTTTTTAGGCCAAATACTGTACTCATTAATTATTATTTCCTTCAAAAGTAGAATGTTCTGCTGTCTGATACTCTGGGGTGTTTTGAATGTGTCTTTGTTAGGTGGTGGTTGTTTTTTTTTTCCCAAAGTTTTGAAAGTTTCCCCTGATTTTCCTGGGCTGGGGGGTGGGGGGATGACACGAGTATTTACTTTCACCTTAGCTTTATTTTTCAGTAGGGACAGTGCTGGCCTTAAGAGGTTCCTGTATATACATCTGTGTCGCACAGCTATCGATGTCATGCAGCCTAGTTAGGCTAACATACTTTATGATGTTGTATGGATCTTCCCCTTTGAATTTAATTAAGTAAACATATCAGCTGGTATTTGTCCAGCTGAAAGCTGAGTTAACTAAGAATTGGTATAAGAAATGACATCCTACTTTGATCACGCTTTGCCGTTTTCAGGAGGTGGTGCTTTAGGAGTGTTAACATTCACAAACTTAGCACTATTAATCTCTCAACAAATAGCATGTAATTATAAAGGGTTTTTTCAAAACTGCTCAATTTTTCAGGTGGAAAGAGAATGTTTTGTTTCTGATGCTATCAAGTTGTGGGGAGTGCAGCCTCTTAATTGCACCCACTTTTAACAATACTATCATTGACCTTGTCTGTAACTTTTTTCAGACGCCTCTAATTCTAAAGATCTTGCTTTTATAAGAAGGATGATCTTAGGACTATCTTACTAAGACAAGTCTTGGAACTTAAAAATATCTTTGGTATAATGTATATTATTTTTGAAAACTTAAGGCTAACCTGAGTAACTCCATACATGGATATGTTTTGAGATTGGAACGTTGCTTTCTAAATCAGACCAAGCCATTGCATGGATGTTTATTCTTTAGATTTGTTTTGTGCTAGGCATGACAATGTGGGACGGCAGCATTAAGCCATTTAAATGATAATATCCTTTTCTGTAAGGACTAGGTGTGGCTTTTGGAACGTATGAACAGTTGTGTGATCTTTTGCCCAGTATCTGCTTCAAGAGAGTTATCTGAAAGGCTTTATTATGAATCTATTTCAGTAAACTTGAGCCTCTTCAGAGGCTCTCCTGCCTTCACCAGTTCTTTCACTGTCTTTCACCCTGTATCTTTTGCCTGACATCCTGAACTTCTAAAGTAAAAGAAATGAGAAAATTACAAATTTGTAACTCTCTTTTTCTTTGTGGATTATACTCATTCAGGAAGGAAAAGAGAATGGTTTAAAGTAGAAGATGCAATCAAGGTCCTTCAGTGTCACAAGCCTGTTCATGCAGAGTACTTGGAAAAACTGAAACTGAGCTGTTCACCCACAAATGGAAACTCTGTGGTTCCCCCTCTACCAGATAATAACTCCTTATACGTCACTTCTGCACAGACTTCTGGGTTGCCCTCTACTGTGAGATAAACATTTGGATTACCTTCTTATTCATGTCATCACAAGGGGAGACATCTGTGATCACATGTAGGCATCTGTATAACTGTCAATTCTAAGTGAAATATGTGAATGTGTCATAATGTCAAATTTATTTTAACATGTTTTTCCTTTTTAACAATGTAAAATAGTATTTCAGCAAACCAAAGCCATATATGGATTTTTTTAAGATGCCTTAATAGGCCATTTTTTTTTAAAAAAAAAAAAAAGGAAACTTGAGTATATAATTTCCATATCTGCTAAAATAAAATATGCATCTCAGTGGTGTTAAGCTTATTTAAGACTTGTCAGTTTAAGTCAGTAGTTCCGCAAGAGTACTTGCTTAGAAAAAAGCTTGAGCAGATAGTCTTCTACTAAACTCTTATTTGGTATCTGTGGATGAAGCGCTAAGATCTTAAGGTGGCACTGTTGGGGTGAGTGGGCGTGCTGAAGGCAGAGATGCCCAAGTGTGACTCCAGTAAAGCACTAAACCACAGTCAGCCTGTGGAGAGCAGAAGGTGCCGACACTAAGCACTGCTTGCCTCAGTTATCCAAAAGTTTGCCTTGCCCTATGCAATCTTCACGTAATTTCTAACTGCAGCAAGAACACCTTCTGTCTTGCAACTACCAAACCTGCCCACTCTACTTCTGTTTCGTTACTTGGCCAGCTGAAGAAAGACTTCTGTGAAACACATTGTAGATCCCTTTTCCTCCACCTTTTTTTTTTTTTCTTGTAGCATTTTGATACGTTTTGTTCACGGTGTAATTACATTGTAGGTTCCAAAAACATCTAATCCTCAATGAGAAGCAGCTTTACTCTGCAGTCTGTTGTAATTTAAAAATGTGTAGAGGAAAGCAAGACTTACCCAGGGGACACCCTTACATTAGTGGTGTCTATTAGCAAGCATGGGTTGAGGTGTCTTGCCCAGCAGGACCTAGTGGTGGTACCTCCTGGGCTTGGAGATAGGTGGGTTGATACTTACTTAGACTAATGGAGAAATAATGTTGTCTTCAGAAGGTGTTAAGTCAATTCTTAAGTACTTAAGTTCTACAGTTTTAACACCAGTTGCTTTAGCTTCTTGAATTAAAAGCTGTCCTCTTGATAAAACTTAGTTGGAATAAACGAGGTACAGCTGACACCTTCCCTGTTCTTATTTTCTCCTCTTTTCAGCCAAAAAGATGAAAACTAAATCCACTGTTGGTCTTAATGTTTTTACCATGGGATTACTCTCTCCTGTGTATGTGTGTGTGTATGGTTTCTTCTACAAGAACACAATCTAATTCATATGAACATCCTAATTCTGAATTTTTTCTAGGATCTAAACCCAACTGTACCTCCTCTATAGCCAGCCAAACCAGAGGTTGAGGTAGACCATTACCTCACATGTGAAGTTTATTCTGGGTAAAGCTCATTCTCTTACACCTTTGAACCTTTGTAAATAGTCCAACTAGTAAATAGTGAGTGTAAAATGGAAAATAAATGTAATTTAAACCTTTTGTTACTCAATACGCAAATGGTTAACTTCTACTTTTTTAACACAAATTGTGTAAAATGCTGCTATAAATTAAACTTTTTTGTGCTGTTACACTTTTTTAGGAGAAACAAAAATGTTGTTGCCACAAGTTACTCCTTAGAAAACCAATCTTGTGCCATATGTAAATGCATTGAAACTAAAGAGACAGATGATCTGATCTGGTAACACTGCTCTCTTTGAAGAGGCAAAAATACTACTGAGAAGAGGCGTGAGCCACAAAGCTGAAGACTTCTGCAATGTTGGGTAGGGTGCCGCTCTTCCATCCCTGCCTCTCCTCTTCCAGGTCACTTCCAGAACTGGAAAGACACAGGGGCACCTAAAGGTGGAAGTATTGCCAACAGCTTGTCATCCTTCCAGTCATGAGGAACTGGGGAAGGAGTGTAGGTATTTCAGTGGTGTGCACATGTGTGTCTGCATGTACTTTACACTGAACCCCATCTAGACGGGGACACCACTTGCTCAGCTCACTTCTTTAAACTGAATGGTCTATCAAAAGCACTGTTTTGGCCAGGCAAACCAGAAGAAGGTGGAGCTGAGCACATATGAAGAATGTCTGATCTTCGTTAAAATCACCCCCCCCAGCCTGTAAGGGTACTTCTGGCTTGACAGCTGCCTTTAAAGGACTGAGTAACTTGGCTCCCTTTTTTGATCACTTTGATGCTCGCTTTTTGTTCAGTAGTCATTTTAACACTTTAAATTGAGCAAACTTGTACAGGCTTTCTTGTAACAAGATTAAATAGAATCTGTGAAAGCTAAAACAAGAATCCAGAGTTTGAGTTCTTATTCATAAAAAAAGCTTCTGTCTCAGTTTCAGATTCTTGGAATGAAACCAATCCAAGCTTGTATGAGATTTAGTGGTAATGCATGATCTTATTTTGTAACTCTTGAATTATGTATTTGATAATAATGTAAAAATGTACAGTATTGCTGTTGCTAACAAACTCAGAGTTGATTGCCTATAAATATTTTGGTTATTTTTTGGTCACACACATTTGAGCTGTTCAGTAGTGCCAGACAGGATTTTTTTTTTTTTTTTTTAAACAGCATTTCTTGTATAAATCTCTTCAGTCTCTATGCAACCTTCAGAACGGAGCTCTTTTGCTTAATTTGACTTCGACTCCCTTTCAAAGAGAAATGTTCAGTGAATTGTAAAGGTAAATTGAGAATACTTCAGTTACACCACAGGGAACAACTAGTGAGAGCCAGCGGTACGGCTTCAGTCCTAACGAAGTCTGACACTAAAGGATCTGTGTAAAGTGGTTTTGTTTTGTTTTTTTTTTCAATTTAAATGTAGAAGCATTTTGGTTTTACGTGCATCTCTACTTAGATAGGCCAAACCAGATTTGGGATTTTTCTCATGCCATAAATTCTGTACTAAACATCCAGATTTGGTTCTCTGGAGGAGAAAGGGCAGAAGGTTGTCACCTGCAATTTTCAAAAAGTCTGGTTTGTACTGCTGCTTTTCCTGGCTGTTAGGTTTTAAGATTATCACAAATTAGATTATGATGGTATCAAATAGAAATAGCCTTAAAATGATATGGAGCCAGAATTAAGCAAAATAGGATGTAATTTTAAAGACCTCAAGAAATACTGAGGTACTGCAGAGAGGCTGTTAAAGTGAAAAATCTTATTTTGGTGCTTACTGCACCCCTGACTTAGCCTGGCATTGGCTTGTTAACAATGTGCTATGAAAAAAAGCAACAAAACCTGAGAGGCAAACACTTGGTTTATTTACCAACATGGTTTGTGAAGTGAAAACTGAAGGGAAGGGGTTGGGGGTGGGGAGGGAAAATTAAGTTGTAAACATTTTGACCTGCTTGCATGGATTTTCTTTAAAAGATTGATGTAAGAATTTTGACTTTTTATATTTGAAAAATACCAGAATAAAATCTAAATTAGTCCTGTGGATGATGTAGTCATTCCCTTTCAAATACTGCGAAAGAAGCGTTTGTTCAGGAATCTTCCATCTCATCTAAAATACAGTTAGTTTCATCTAGTGTTTCTTATTTCTTGCCTCATCCTTGCACTCTAGCTTCATTTTGCCCAGTGGAAGAGGCCTGTCCTAGCTCTCCATGCAGCTTCCCATCCAGCTTCACCCACACCAATGAGATTTCTAATTCTCCACTTCCCTTTGCTACTGTCCTACCTGCCACTTGCAGCACCGATGGGCATTTAATGGCTGTACAGTAACAGTGGGAGCAGCTGCATCACATCAGACCAAAGGTCCATCTAGTCCAGTGTCTCGTGTTCAGCAGCGCCTGGAAGAATTGGGAACAACAGGACAGTATTTACCTCAAGTGCCCCCTGTCCACCACCATTTGTGGCTCAGGATCTCGGTGCTGTTACAAGGAATGGATTTCTTTTCCTTGAACTCCCCGAACATGGCTCTCAGACAATCTTCTGTCCCTAAATAAGCAGGAAATGCTGTTCAAAGAGGTGGTTTAGGAAGGCAGGAGACCACTGAGTGAGCCTGCTGGGTGATCAGCTGCTACTTGCCTGATGGCCCACGTGGAACTTCCAGCAGCTCTTGGTGGTAGCGCTGGTTCCTGATAGCTTTCCCTCATTATTGGTTAGCACAAACGTTGTCAGCTGAGCACCATATTGTTAGCACCAACTCTGATGGATGGAGAGTATGCAGACGCATGTACAGCAATGCACACTGCTGGCCAAAGACCATCGCTGTGGGCACGTACCCTGCTGGTGGCTTGCCTGTGGCCTGGCGCCTGTAACATCCACACAGACTCTGGAACAAGGCCCTTGTCCTAAGGGACAGTTTGCTGCCACTCAACTTGGCTTAGTTCTCCTGAACACTTCTTTCCTGCTTTCCAAGTACTCAAGTTCATGTTGTGCTAGCAGTGTAAGACAGGCAAACATCCACAGCAACTGAAGAAAGGACCGACACCATCACAGTCACCTTACTGTGTCATATTCCTCAGACTGGCCCATGTTTAGTAACTGTCCATGGGGCATAAGACCACAGACACCCCTCCATGAATTTATCATCAGCACCCTCCTAAGTTACCTGTAATAGTAACGAGCAGCTGTCAGGAAAACCACAGCAGCAGTGGTACTTCTGAAGGCACAGCTGAGGCCTCCAGGCTGAGAAGATGACACCCACTACAGCAACCAACAACTGAACATGGCACCTGAAACCCTTCAGGCATGCGACAGAGCTTGCAAGCCTGACTACAGAAACCATGGACACCTCAACCGGGGTACCTGCCAGGCAGGGAGGTGCAGATCAGGCCTGAACCAGAAATTCCTTCACAGCAGCTCTGAAGGCAAAGCCCAGCCTCCACCAGAATATCTGAAACACCATCCTGCAACAAGTACTGCGGTCGGAGACAGATTTCCCATGTGAAATAATCTATACTTTCCTTATAATAAGAACCTTCCCCTTAGATGCCACACTTGCATCCATGTCTTTACCTGGGAAGGCTGGCGCAGTGTGACAGGGAAACGGCCTCCCACTGCGCCCTGACTCCAGGGGGGTTCTGGAGTATTCTGTGCCTCAGCCATGGGCTGAGCAGAGGCGACAGCTCCCTGCCAACAAACCCAGCCACCCAGACAGCTTCCGGGGATAATTCCCTTTCCTAACGCATCCAGGGGGGAGCATTCAGCTGACAGCTCCCACCACCACCCCCCTTCAAATCCAAGTTTTCATCCTTCCTTTTCTGCCCTGCAGACAAATACAGAACCATCTACTTGCTCACATAGAGCCCCTTGGCATGAGGGGAGAGTGTGACAGCAACCACCACAGCCAAAGCAGTGACCCCGCTTGGTGCCACTCTTCTAATGTACTCTGGTGCAGCACAACAATTACAGATTTGCTTTAAAATCTTCCTCTGCGCTTTTGACAGGAGGTTGCAATACACAGCACGAAATCCATCATCGCAGACACATAATTATTAACTTTGTGCCATGCTCGTAATGTAACAGGGGTTAGCAAAGCTGAATACATCTATCAATTTGATTGTGCTAGAAATTGTCCAAAGTGCGCTTAAAAGTAGGCAAGTCTTGTACTAAAGCAGGCAGATTTACACACAGGCAGGCAAAAAAAAATAAAACAAAAAAAAACATCCTCTGAGCTCATGCACCAGAGCAGCCCCCTCTGATGGCTTTAGGACCAAGGTGTTGCTCTTTTCTCCCCATACGAGAAGGGAAAAAAAAAAAAAAAAAATTTAAAAGCCACAGCAATTGGGAAGTGAGTTATGAGAGATGTTATCCACGCTTACCTCTCTTATTTTAACAAATGATTAAAATATTAGGAAACTATTGCACAGCGATGGCAGCCCACTACAGTTAAATGAAGCTCAGTGTCTGTGTAATGAATAATCACTCTTCCTTTTATTTCAGTGTCATATCACATTACAGTCAAGACATGTTATTGACAAAACCTACCAGACATTTTACTTTTAAGAGTAACCCTCAAAAAAAAAAAATCCCAAGAAGGAATGTACATAAATCGAGATGTCACAATTGTTGATGTTACTAGTCCATTAAGATGTTTCACAATAAACTCAATGTGTTGAAAATACACTTTCTTGAAAGCTACAGAAGCAACGGTTCACGTGGTTTAGACTAAAGCCAGCTGAGATACAGAAGACCTGTTCCATCGGTTCCCCACGATGATACGCTTCACACCCCTGATGGAACGTGGCTACACGTTAAGAGACCACCAATGAATGGTTCTGCAAAAATGCAACACCTTCCCAATCCTCCTCTTCATCTAAAGGAGCCTACCATGAAAGGACTTTGCATGGGTGGTTTTAGAGTCCACGTGCTCAACAGCTACACCATTACTACCCAGACACGGACATACAACCGCAATGTCACCACTCTCGCTCAGGATTTCAGGACTTTTGACACAGAGCACCAGCACTGCTTGAGGAAACCCATCTATTGTAAATTTACGGTAAATTTATCCCATGGAGAGCCACTAAAAATGCAGGTAAAGCTAACGCTGCCTAAAAGATACCTGCATTTGCTGCCCAGCTCTAATGGGAGATGTAACAAAAGTAGCTTTGAGTTTCAGGTAACAGCTGTCAATAAACACCTGCTTCACTTGGGGAAAAAGCTGCATCTAACTGGCTTCAAAGAATTTAGTCTCAAAGTTTCACACATGCCCAAACATAAGACAGAATGAAATTCCCAGCTTGGTTTTATACAGGGCTCTTAAATCAGGTTTAAAAGTTAAATACACATTATTTAATATATATTAGATCAACTGTAAAATGATTAAAATATGCTTGGACAGACACCAGAACAAATAAATCCCACTTTTTAGGGAGCCCATTTAAAATTTCTTTCGTTACAACTACCATTTGAAAATACTCTGAGGTGTTTTAAAATACAGTACTTTGCCTATCGTTTTACACCATTAATTTCAGATATACCATCACTACGGACTTACACATTCAAACTGAAGACAGTGTGAACTTCTTTAATAATCTCAAATTTGTTGAGATGATAGTTAAAAAAAGAACCCAGACACAAACTGGCTACTGTGTACTCAAACAATTCTATAATCCACTTTGTTCAGTCACTAACAAATGGAGGCAGAGGATTTTTTTTCTATTAATACATTAACAATATTCCATCAAGAACTTGAGTTTTAATTACATCCTCCGATTAGCTGCCAACTCCAGCTGAGTTTTAAGCCTGGAACATACAAATACCTACAGGCAGCTGCTGAATGACCTTGGGTCTGGATTCATCCCCACCTCTTTGGAAGTTAAACTGTCCAAGTGCCAGTTGGGGTCCTGTTTCTCTAGGGAAGGAAGGGAAAGCCACTGTCAAAGGCGGGGGCTTAGGTAGGCCTGCCTGACCTCGGGATGTGCCACTGGGCCTTGGCCTAGAGGAGGAGCCACAAAAATCTATACTTAGTGTAAGGTAAAGCTTTAAGAGGTAGGTGAAGGGAATCCAGAGTCTGCCTCACGTATTCTCAGCTGCCTGCCAGGGAGCTGCCCATAGGTGTTACCAGCACACAGGGACCTAAGCCAGCTAAACCCACCCTCATTTCTAACAGGAAGGCAGGGTCAATGGTGCTTACCCACTCTGACCAACAAACAGTTTGTTACAAGCCCTGAATGCAACTTTGGCTTACATTCAACACAGAAATTACTTTTAAAACAGGGCGTTTAGCTCAAAAAGTGAAAGAGTTGAATTCTGAACCAAGCTTCAACCATGTTACAAGGAGTACTTAGAGGGAACAATACCGGTTACTAACCACTGAAAGCGCTGTCTGTTGGAAAAAACGTCGTTTTAATAGATATTCTTCATCTTACATAAGAGCACAATAAATACACCACATTCTATAGAAATTTCAGATAACACCAGAGTAAGAAGAGGTGAAAGAGGGAGAATACCAATGGACTACATAACCATACCCCATGACAAAACACTCCCTACTGCAACCACTGCAAGCTGTCATTGATACACTTCAAGTTGGCCTTGCCAAAAGCTTTGAAGATTTTTTTTTAAAAAAACTTTTTTTTTTTTGTGAGGGAGAAGGCATGTGAAAGGAGGAGAATAGGGATACAAGAAATTAAGGGAAGCAAAAAGATGGGTTCCCAGAAAAGATGCTGGACTCCCAGACAACGCATACACAAAAAACAAGGATGAGAAGGAAGTTCTTTAAATCACTGTCCTTCCCTCCAATAAAGAAGCTTTGCTGCTATTTAAGCAGACCAGTTGCTCGAGCAAGTAGCTTAATAAGGCTTGTAGAGAAAACCAGTGGTATGAGGCGCTAGCTCTAAGTGGTTAAGCGAACATCAGTAAATACACAAGCTGGCTGTAACAGTGGTTCTACACACTGGTATTTCATGTTAATAGAGGACAGGAATTAAAGAAGTTAGAAAAAGTGTGTAGCCTAACATCTGATGACAATCAGCAAAGAGAAGTTATGCAGATACTCACAATTAGTGCTGTCGTTTGCTCTCAACCTCCTACTTATCCTTATTTCCATGAAAATGTATATCAATGCACTACTAAAATTACAGTTACAAAGACTTGTTTCTAAAAGTCACTCCAAATGGGATTTTGTATTAAGTTGGCCAGGAAAGGTCACCCACATAACACAAGCTAAGGAAAAAAAAAAAAAATAATCAGCAAACAGAAGCAAAAAAAAAATTTGTGAATTCCACCTCTTAAATGTTTAATCTGTCAGACTGGTGAAGACAAACCGTCAATTCTGGTTTCAATTATTATTTTTTTTAAATACGATTGTCACATTAGAGAAATGAAAACACAGCAAAATAAACTGTACAAAGGCAAAGTAGAATAACAAAAAATATTTTACTAAAACATAAGATTTACAGGAGATTTTCCAGACAAGCCATACAAAATGGTCACAAGCTTTTTCTTGGAGGGATTTTTTTTTTTCTACACTTGACAGCAGAATCACAATATTATTAGTGAAGGTGATGGATGTTTAATGTTCCCATTTTTTGTTCAAACAATGAAGCTTGTCCATCTACAGCGTCTAAGTTAGACTGGGCTAGAGGGTATATTCTAAAGTATAACTGGTTAGCTGCTTTTACCAATGCAATTAGCATCACCATAAAAAGGGAGGAGGAGCCCACAAAATTAAAACAAAAAGCCCCGCAGCTAACCCTGCCTACCTTCATTCACAGTGCTTATACTTAAACCATGATGGGAAAAATGATTAAAAGCAGAAATGTGCTGCTGCTTTTAAACAATTTCACAACAATCCAGATGATACTTCTAGCCTCTGCTCATGCGGTACAATAGTGAATTAGGACAAGACACAGATTTGCTAATGTGCATTTAATCACCAAAGGACTGAAGATGTCTGGGCTTTTATTCTGTAATGTTTCTAAGACTGTGTCCATTAAATGCAAACAAAAAAGGAAGAGGTCTTGGCAGAACAGGAGAAGTGATGCACACTTGATGTTCAAAGCGCATTTAAATATTATTCATGGCATATAGCCTAGTCCATGCTCTGGCTGTAAAGAAAAAGAAACACAGTTAAGAAATTAGTTTTTACGCTTTGTTAAAGCCGTTTTAAATACTCATTTTTAAAGATCACTTTATACCACTGCTGCAAGTATACAAAATATATCCGTTGTGAGATTTTTAAGTGCCATTTTGAACTCCTATTCTATACAAAAGTTTACAGCTGCTGAAGCAGCCTGACTGCAGTGAATCCAAAAGCGAAGAGGCATAACATCATAATTCTTTCAATCTGCTATGGCCTGCGGCACCAGCAGGTATAGAAGACCCGTGCTTTCTGAAACTCGGTAATTTGCTCCCTTAGCTTTACACAAAAAGCAGTGGTGTGTACTTTTATTTTACCATGAGTCCAAATTAAACATGCTTACAATTTAGGAACATGAAAACTCAAGATAAAACAGATCAAGAGGGCTCTTCCAGCAGGCCTCACAGATGCAAAAACAGACCCCCGCAGGCACATTCAGGGTTCTTGGACTATGGCTGTATGCAACAATTGCTTCTGCAAGTTGCAGACTTGAAACAAAAGGTCAGGATTTATAGTCGCCCAATCAATTAGCAATTAGTTACTTCCTAAAGCTAGGGGAAAAAACTCACAGAGCTGTAAGATACATCACCTGTTTCTATGGCTTGGGCTTCATTGGTCTTCCATTGCTCAGCTACATCATTTGCTAGTGGATCATCTGGATTGGGAGCGCTTAACAAAGCCTGGATTGATAGCAGAACTGTACGAATCTGCAAAGCTGGGGACCATTTATCTGAAGAGACATTTACAGCAGTATGAAACATCATATTTATCACAGGCTACAGAAATAGTAAGTTTTCCTCTCCCAGATTAAAGGATAAGCAAGGTATTCTTTAAACAAATTAAACCTCTTTTAAGGGTCAATTTAAAAGTTCCCGTACTGAGTAGGATCAAAAGAAAGAAAACAAGGTAGCACTTACCTTTCAAAATATCTAAACATATTCTTCCCAGCTTGTCTACATTAGGATGATAAATTTTGGTCATGAAACGTACTTTAGGAGCTGCCATTGGATATTCTTCTGGAAGGAATAGTTCAAGTTTAAATGTCCCACCCTCAAAGGGGGAATCCTGTGGACCTGCAATGACCACGTGAAAATAACGTGCGTTGCTTTCATCTGGCTCTGCTTTTATCCCAGGGACTGGCTCTGCCAGCAAGCGCTGGGTTTCCTAGAAGAAGAAGAAGCAGCAATGTAACAAATACAACCCGTTTAAAATAAACACGACATGTATTTTAAAAACAAGAAATATTCATTATGAGCTATTCGCCTACATTCACAGAAACAATTTTAGACAAATACCTTAAAGAACATCTGCAGAAAGAAGGTGAGGATGTAGTAAACCTGTCAATCTCCTTTTGGATCCCTCAACTGCTGTAATAGTGTGTGCTTCTATAGTGCGAGGTAATAGGTAACAATTAGCTGTCCTCAAATTTCTTAACTTTTGATTTAACTACTGCCAAGCTGTTATTCCCCC